GACTCATACATCTTTCTAATGAAGCAGTGATCGATCGAAAACAATAGAAAAAAAGGCTTGTATCGACTCTGTGTCATTTAACGGTGACGGGGATCCAATGCCGCTTCCGCGGGACGAGGCAACTTCGTCCACTAATTAACTCCGGAAGGCACTAATCTTATTTGTTGAGAAACGAATAACGGGTCGGCGGCGTTTCTAATCGGGAGCATGACTCGTCGTCGGTCGATTAATGACAGGAGGAGTTGCGGGTCCTGGACGCAGCGGAGAGCCCGGGACCAGAGGAGGGCTAGAATCGCGGTGGAAGGATCAAGAAGGAGGAGGGCGGAGGGGAAAGAGGGAGAACAGAAGAAGAGACCGCTCCGTGGAACTGGTTCCGTTCCATGGATCACTGGAAACAATCATCCTTATTAAACTCACCACCGGCCCACCCCGCGGATATAAAGGCATCCTTCGGAATGATTTACCGAGAAGCGCGTCGCGCGGCCCTTTGAACAGGTGGATCCCTCGAAACGCGACGCGAACAGAGACGATAAATTTTATGGATCCACCGGGCGGATAGATTGAGAACGCGCGCGACGGGGGTGGCCGCGCGCGATATTCCGCCGAGTCAGGTTTCCGAAGCGTGTATTCAGGACGAAACGGCGCCCGGCTGATCGGGAGTAATTAAGAAATCGAAAAGTCATCAAAGAGTTTTGTTGTAATTAGCTAAGGTATCCTCCTCCCCCTCCCCGACATTCGAAAAAAAATAGATTCGTATAATTAAATTGAAATAACTCAGCTTTTCTCTAACGTATTAATTTCCAACTATAATTAGAAAGCACGATATAAAAGAAAAAGATCGAATAGCAAGCCGGAGCGCGCGCGCAAATGTCACCTGGGCTAAATTTTGCCAATTGTATCGACATTGGTGTGAAAAACCGGCTGAAATGCCACGTTGAAAGTAACCGCGTTTAAACACGCCATACGTGTTAACGTTTACGAGGTTATTAATTAGCTACGTCGTTCGCCAGAAAGAAAGTAAGTAGCCGTGGCCGGACATTCGAAAAGACGACGAGGTCTCATCGCTTTAACCGCTCTCTCTCTCTCTCTCTCTCTCTCTCTCTCTCTCTCTCTCCTGGAGTTTACAACCGGGATAAAAAATTAAAACCAACAGAGACAGGTCGGGACTCGGGGACTGGTCGGGACCGCTCACGGTCGAACGATTAGTCCGCCGCCGTCGTCGGTAGCAGTGCGGGCCCGAGCCGCAACACTCCAATCTAAATTAGATCTTAAGAGCCCGTAAAGGCAAGTGGCCACGCTCTCTCGCGAGCCTACGTGGCAAGCCGGCTTTAAGTGCCATATAAACAGGACGAATCTGGTAATCCGCGCGCTCCCTCGCAAATGCCACTCGGGCCTCGTATTCGCGGTCCCCGCAAAAAGATCCGTGGTTATCTGTTATCGCATTCGAAGAACGGCATTCCACGAAACGTCGTCCTGTCGTCAGCAGCTTGTTCGGAGCTATATCGTCTCCTAGTCAGTAGCGTCACTGATTGCAGACAAAATTCGCGAGACTCTTTTCAGTGACGAGAAAATAGGTAAACGTAAAAATTGAAAGCAAACTATAAATAAAAATATGAACAGGTACCAATCAATACTATAATAATATAAAAGAAATTAAGATTAATTTACGCTAAGAGAAAAAATTTTTATTAATAAAATAGTGAAAACATTTACAATCACAAGAGATAAAACGAAACGAATGACAGATAAATAAGTAAAGATACGAAGATATAAAAAGAAAAATTGCATTTATAGGTGTAGGAATGTCTGTAAAAGTCCAATACCAAGGGGGTATATCAGAAGAAAGCTTGCCCGACTCTCGGATCGGTGTGTTCTACTGATCAAAAAATAAACGATGAACGTAAGAGAAATGTTTATCGATGTCCAATTGGATGTACACGGGCCGCCGCGCGGGAACACGTGTCTTTTATTGGCGAATGAATTTTCATTCGCGATGTCCAGGAAGTTAAAGCCGCGGCTAGCAATCCTCTCCGGGCTATCGATATATATTTCGATAGGTCCCAATCGCACGTCTGCCCTTATATGTAAAGGCACGCCTAATGAATATGCGTCGTGTTCCACGACTTTACTCTCCTCTCTTTCTCTCCTCCTGCGTCTCTCCTTCTCGTCGGACTAGTCAATAAACCTAAGCGACCATAAAATCCAATTAGCGCGAAATTAATACTACCACGCGGCGAAATGGCGGAAGAAACGGGGATCAATTTATTCTACGAAACGGCAGAAAATGCCGGGCAATTTTCCACAGGCAGGAAGCCTGTATATAAGTGGACGAGGAATAAATTAATACGGGCGACGAATGTTATTAGAAGCCAATCAAGCCAATTACTGGCCGGTTTCTTGAGAAGAAAAGGAATTTTTACAGCGACAAATAAATAGGCGTCGGTTTTATAACGGAATACATATTTATTATGAAAATAATAATACACTGGATGATTGAAAATCAGACAGGTGACAGGACTCGCGAGATACGCTATTAAATTACAAAACTTTATTGCTTTTAAATGCGCACGGGTTCATTTCACTGTTACAATGAACAACAAAACGATATAAATTCTTGCCTTTTTTGAATCCATTACCAAGATCTCTGGTTTTTTTTTATTAACTCTTTTATTTAATTAAAGTTGACGATTTCCCAAAAATCGATTCACTGATTTTTATAATTACTACTTTTTTACCGACTAATTTTAAAATCATGAGTACAAAGACTAACGAATATACTTTTCAGTGTTCTTAAATATTGCTTAGAGATAGCACAGATTAGAAGTTTTCATAGCTCGCTTAAATTTCTATTTTTATTTTTATTACACGGAAAAATTGTTCGGAATCTTTCTGTTTTCTTTTTCCGAGAGGTTCGGTTCTAAATTTGTTAGATAAACGAAAGGGACGCGTATTTTGCTCGTTAAGGCTATCGTCGTAGTTTCACGCGCGCACATGGATGTGTAAGCTTGTCTCGCCATATACTCGCGAATACATCTCCAGCCCTGACCGTACACCACGGTACACTCTACCTGTTTCACCTCTCTCTGCATACTCCCCACCATCTTCGTTAATTACGAGAACCCATACCGTGGCCGCAGGACCGGACCTATTACGAGCGATTACACCGCTATTAGTTACCTACCGGGTGTTCCACGGCGCGGAGGAAGGCACCAAAAAAAGAGCAAGGAGAAAGAAAAAGCTACCCAGATAGATTGCGCCGCGGCCCAATGGCGGCGCGATATACTGTACGTATGTAACTGGACCCGGGTGTGCAGGGGACTTAATAATGCAAAACCGTCGTTCCGCGTCTACGGATGGGAATTTGCATGAGGATCGTCAGTCTGGCTGCAGGAAGGCCCAATGATCGATGTATCGTTCCACGAATTTACACTCGCGGATTTAGCAGACTTGCAATGGACGGATAGGTGATTTATTTTAGAATCTGTCGTGGATTCAGATTAAAGAAGGAAACGGGCATGATCATTATTCAAAACTAAATTTAAAAGCGCTTCGAAAAGTTTTGTTTTTGAGTTGATTTTAATTTCGTGTTTGCTTGTTTAAAATGCGTAGCATAAAATATTTTTATGTCCGAATTATTTTGACACTGAAGAAAGGTTAGTGAACCAGAAGAGGTTCGATTCAAATCAAACGTTCAAATTCTTAAAATAAATTTTGTTAGAAGCATGAAATTCTGATATAAAATGCTGATTAATAGTAATATATATATATATATATATTTTTTTTTATACCATATACACAATGATATATATGTGTGTATGTATATATACAATCAATTGCCGCGCGCGAGTAATCATTTTTTTTTTATTCCTGGAGCCATTATTTTCCATTTAGAACTTTAGTGTGTCCGAGGTCCTGCGTTAACACGCATTAAGCATACCTTTTTAAAACACGATATGCTTATACACGCGTTGGTGTCCAGCCGTCACCCGGTCATCACTATTTCGAGAGAGAGAAAGAGGCTGTCTCAGGTAGTATACACTTAGGATAACCAGATCTCTTTTATAACCGTGCTCAAGGACTACCTGTGCACCTATCGTAAATATCTTGCGGCGGAGACCATTTTTTGAAAAAGAATTTGGTAAGTAACAACGTTATCGGCAGTAGCCAGGAGAGTGCACAGGAGCCAGACAACCAAATATTTGGGTGGCAGCTGATAGTCGGTCTCTTATATTGTATCTAAATCCCGTTACTACCCCGAACGTGGACTCTAAAGCCTGATAAATGCGATTAGACACCTTGCTTATCGCCTGGATCCACGGGAGGTATACGAGAGCTTCCTATCCCGTCACCATAAGCTCTTAGTCGTCAAGGTTGTCTTCGGAAGAAGGATTGAAACTCTAAACAGCTTTGAAACAATTGATCTCTCGAATGGTTTTTTCGTGAAACGCCAATAGAATGGCTGCATAATTCGTTAGTCTCAAGGTTTCTAATTTCACGCATTTCTTGCAATAGCGACATAAATAATCCAAAATAATTCCATTGAAAACACATATTTCATTACATTATTTATACTTATATTTAGAGGGGAAAAAAACGAAATAAAAACTTAATTTAAAGTCGAGAAATACTCAATAAATATGTATATATTTTATAAGTATAATTTTATTTTCAAGTGGCTACTAATTTAATGCCCGATTAGTCAGCTGTTCGCTTATATTCCGCAGCGAGTATTCGATGCTAAATGTATATAATAAAAAAATAATTTTATATTTTTTTATTCTGATTTAGAGAATTTTTATGCTTTCATGATATCTGCAACGTTATGCATTTTTTTTCAATTTAGAAGAAATTTTGATTTTTTTGAAATATCACGATGTACCTACTGTCTTTGTATACCGAGTTTCCAAATAAAATTCCATCTAAATGAACTCACCCCGACCATTTGAGTCGAGATAAAGCTCGAGATTATTAGAACATTGCTTGATGGTCAGTCGACTCACCTCGTAAACACGTCCGGATAATGCGTCCTGGAGAAGGCCTTTTCAAGCTCCTCCAGCTGAAAGCTAGTAAAGGTCGTTCTGTAGCGACGCTGCTTTCTCTTGGGCGCAAAGTCGTCGGCCTCCGCCTCGCTCTCGGGGCTGGTCGGCGCCGCTCGCGGGTGGGTGCCCTCTTCCTCGGGCCTTACCTCCTCGGTAGAGATGCCCATTTGGGTGGGCTGAGGTGTCGTCGTCGTCGTCGTTGACGCCGGCGCCGATTGCTGGTGAGACTGCGGGTGAGGCTGCTGGCTCACCTGCTGGCTCACCTGAGTCACCTGGCTCGAGTTGCTCGTGCTGCTCGCAGGACTCGTCTGCGGGACGGCCTGCTCGCTGCCTCCTCGCGACGAATGATCTGCATAGAGAAATAATTACGTCACACAGGTATAATAACGCAGGTATAATTTTGTCGTTTATACTAACACAAATGTAATATGATTACAGGCGTCACGAGAATTCGGATGTTGTACCTGCTCGGATCATGGACTGCAGCATAATTTCGTGAGTCCAAATTGACTTTATGAATAAAATTTTAGGCTAACTGTAAGACTTTGCAAATCAAATATATATGATCCAGGATAAAATTGTTAGAAATTATATTAAATTTTCAATTTTTAATTTTTACGCCCACCGTGGCAATCGTTATGATATAAAAGAAAATAATTATTGCATTACATTATTTATACGCGCAAGAGAATTTCAAATGCTTTCGGATAATTACAGAAGTAAAAGTAAAAACAGTATATTAAAATTTAAAGTTCTGTTTAGTAAAATTAAAATTTGCACATATAATTGAGAATTACAGAGATGTTAGTTCATTGCACATTTACACATTCAGTTTCAAAATTCTGAATTTCCTCATAATACTCTAAATATTTAAATTATTTAAAATGTAGCTAAATCTAAGGGTCTGTAAGATAAAAATTCATATATATATTGATGAATCGATCGATATCTTAAAATAGGAATAGCATAACACTAGGCTATCGTTAGGCCATCTGACCGCGACTGAAATGCGAACGTACTACGTAGTGTGAAGCGATTCATCAGTTGTCACGTGAAGCGGTGACCACAACGTATTATCAGCGACGATCGGGTTCTACGAATGGTCAGGGAAATCGTTGCGGTCTAGTTTCCGCTGCGAGCGGATTTAAAACGACGACGGCCTGCTTGATGCGCCGCGCGGCCGTAAACCTTCTCGGGATTTGGAATTTCCGCGCTTCAAATTTCCGCCTTCGTAGAAAGATCTAATACCGAGTGACCGCTGTATAATTAGGCTAACTATTAACACAACTGTTAGGCCGTAAGAAGGTTTACGTCTCTAAATAAAAACCAGCTTTGAACTATTTCGCTCTGGCGTGCCGAGTCTTCTTCATAATCAATGTAGGAGAAAAATATCAACGTAATACCATGGGATGTTGTCAAGGAAATAGGAGGAAATACATTTTGCACAAGTATTACTAGTATTCATTTTTCATAAGTATCGTAGAATTTATTCGAAATTTTATTGCGTATAACATGACATATTTTAGTTTGTAGATAAAAGGTGGAAATAAAATATAGTCTGATAAGAAACTTCTTGCATGACAAGACTTTTTCAAAAATACTAATTTAGATCTGCTAGTGCAAAGATCAAAATAGTTTATTAGCTATCAGAAAATAAATTGCATCACATTGGAGTAATTTGGATATTCCGAAATCTGCGTGTAAACCATGCGTGTTGTCTCGAGAATGCGCAAAAAAATCATATTGATACAAAGCAAGTTACCTTCTTAAAAAAAAAAAATAAAAAATACGATCACGTAATACGCAGCTTATAAACTGAACAGAACGATACGGTCGCTACTCTTGCGCCTGTTCATTTTCGAACACCCCTTTAATCGCATATCCCCCCGCTGCATCTCGCAAACCCGCCGCGCGCGGTTAATCTTCGCGCTGCATCGTTATTCTGTCCGAAAAACATATCTCGCGCAGTTGCGAGACGCGGTGCGTTTTCGCGGTAAAAGTGTAAAAATTGCTTGGAATTAATGGTATCATAACATTACACGGTCGCGTTGCGTAGGCAACTTGGCTGAAGTCTTTGCATTAGAAAAAGGATGCTTAAAAAGCTTCTTTTCCTCAAATAGAAAAATAGTACAAATCTATTATTAGTAAACAAAATTTATATAGCTGTACCTAATGGCCTTAAATATATGATCTTATACATATGTAACGAAGATGAAATTTTTTTGTCAAAGTGATAAATTGGACTCATTTTATAAAGCTGAATTAATTAATTTTCTACGATAACGATCCGTGTCTATTTTGCAAAAAAATATTAAAATATCAAAATGTAATAAATATCAATTTTAAATACATAACGCGAGATTACGAATACGAGATAGGAAATATAAGGATATACGTATGATTTATTATCGTATATTAGTCAGTAATAAGTGAATTAAAATAAATAAATTTTAGATGTAAATGCGCTGACATACGCGCGCGTGCGGCAGAGGTATCATTCCTTTCACCGCGACTTTACCTCGTAGGAATTAATGATTTCTACGAGTCCGCACCTTGGCATGATCGCAATCCCGTCATCGTGGCAATCGTGTAACGGCGTTCGATATTGCTTGTAAACTTGTAACGGAATCGTTGGTAATAAATATCCGCCGACCGGTGGCTTCGTAAGGCGGGATTACAAGCTACTGCTGGCTAATACATAAATAAAGAGGCAACTAATTGCTAGAATAAAAGCTTAAAAAAGAAGCTTAAAGAAATCAGTGGAACAGTTATTGAACAAGCAATATTAATTTAAATTAAATTATTGGACATTTTTTCGGCAATAATTTTGGAATATTTTGTTGATTAAACAGAGAATTGTTATGAACGTGCAAATATAAACTTTGGCAGTAAAAATACTTCTTCAAATCGTAAAATTACACTACATTAAAATATCTCTTTATATATGTGATATTTAAATTGCATTTATTTATTCGATATTCGAATTATGTCTTTCTTTTTTATCCGCCTAGATATGCACATAAAATTTCACACACAACTCATTTTAAATCTTGCAAGAAATTTAATTCGCAATGATTGCGAGTATCCCCGTCACGTTCCACGCATATCGGTGAAACATACGCTCTTACGTGCATCGATATACGCTTCATATGCGAAGTCTTTAGAGAAAACGGCAGCCGATCGAGTAAATTTTCTAGAAGCGGGCGGTTCGATAGAAAGCGAGGATCGAAAGAACGTATGCGGGGATGAAGGAGGGAGGAATCCAAGTGGTTTACGCGGTTCTTAAGCGGCAGTTTTTAATCGAGTCAATTTATCGGAAATGAGCTTATAATGCAGGTAGCCTCGACGTAATGCCGATAATATACAACGGGCCTAAACCTCGTCGGATTTTCCTTTTTGTTCACGTATACTCACGACGTGTGCAACTACGAGTTCATCGACGCGCAAAGAGAGCGAGGTAAAGAAAGAGAAAGAGAGTGTAGGACGTGTAGGTAGCCTTTTACATTATAATAGCATTAATGGGGCCTGAGGCCGCACTTAGCGTTCGCTCGCCGGCCAGTTCGCCTTCGTCGTTATTAACTGAAAATTACCGAAACCGAAATCTAATTCACGTAAACACTATAATTTCACCGCGTGCCGAGGAATCGGGAGTCGCTCTCTCTAAGCGCTCGCGCGCTCTCTCGTATTCTCTCCCCTTACGATAAGGCACATTAAATTCCTCGGCCTACTCGAACGGGCAAATACGTCCGCGAGATCATGCATCCGTGATGCTGTAAATCGAGCCTGCTGATTTTTTAATCCTTTGCGCCATTTACTCTGCATCGATTCGAGAGCCGACTTTATTTTGCGCGCAAAGATAATGAAATTAACGTAAGGAATGCACAGATGTTCAATAGTTAGTTGCAGTTTTTAATGTTTGATGAAGCCTTTTCTGTTGGATTGAATTCACTTTTTTTTGTTATTTATACTTTTGTCATCCTTAGCAAAAAGCGAAAAAATGAACTTTTTGTTCCATGTATCCAATTATTGAATCCAATATAACAGGACATGTTAATTGTAATTTAAAGAACGTATTTTATAACATAATTACATTATAGAAATCAATGGCATTAATTTTGTTATATTTATTTCTGTATATAGAAACTCCTTGCGTATAAATTCAAGATAATTGAAAAGAAATGACATTAACGTCAATTACATGGCAGAGTAATTTTGATTGACATTATAATGGTTTTAAACGACAATATGCAAATGAGAATGTCGGGAACACGCAAATCTTTAATTAGCACAAATTCATAAATGTCAAACAGCAAATTGTTTTTCAGTAAAATTATACAAATCATCGAGTGTGTACACCATGACCACTATGTGTGCTACGCGTTATCGCGAAGTTATTCCCGGCGCGGATTAATGAACGATAGCTGGTTTTATGTGTCGCAAGTGTACGCCGTAATAAACATCGGCGAGAACGTGTTTTAGCGCGATTCCATCGCGAAACGAGTGGTAACTTGCATCGCATCGACGTTACTTAATTTACCGCGGAGTTCGATCTCGCGTACGCCCATTTATTTCTCTCCGGCGGCTGTTCCGCGCGCCTTGACAATATCATGAATGTTCAATTAGATACGTCACGCTCGATTAGAAATGATAGAGCGAATTGCAGGGCTGTAACCGGTGATTAATCTCGCGGGGAACGCAGAGAGGTATTACTTTGTTAATACGACCAATAAAATCGTATCTATATATTAGTTTTCGTTACGTTTCTTTGTTATTGAGTACAAGATATATTTTTTCAGGTCCTTTATTATTTTTAACATTATATACGGTTCGAAAATACGCTTTGCCGGCGTAAATAAACACTCCAGAGTGAAATAGCTAGAAAACATTTTATTTAACACTTAACATCAATCTTGACTTTGGCTCAACGAAAAAAGTTTTAATCCGAGAGTTAGTTACAACAACAAAAAATCTGAGCAAATTTGCCTCGCTCCTTAGCTGCGCGTCGACGATGTAGTGCGAACGTGCAGGATCCTGCAGAGTGCAAATGCATTTACTGTCGTTTCTCTCAGCTCAGCTAAAGCTGTTTGAAAAACTGCATTGTATCTGCTACATTTGCGTGCCGTTAGCGTCTGCTTGCACACGTATGCGCATTGCACATTGCGTGTGTGCGATTTACGGCCGTGCAAATTAGCGCGTCGCAATCAACCAATTAGCTAAGTCATTGTGGCCGCGTACGCGAACGCGACGTACGCAGTATGCACGGCAGGCGACAAACGGCGACCGTTAATTACCCGCTAATCCGTACCGCAAGTGCCAATTAAAATTTCCTCTCTGGATATTTTCCGTCCA